GCACAGTTTAATTGCAAAGGCAAACGTTTGTTGAAAAAGGTTTTCGCTCCTTTAATCATATTATTTTTTAAAGCAGTCTATCTATAGCATGTAATGAAGCTAAAGTCATTACGATATAGAGGACGACGCAGGGACACGCCTCAGGCACTTTTTGGTCACTCGCTTCGTTATAGGCAGTTTTGATACTGGTACTGCCAAGTATGACATTCCGGGTAGAACAAAGACAATGAAAGGACCATGAAATGTACTTTCCGCTGACATGCGAAGAGTAAGTGTTGGATAACCTTTTGACCCTCAAGAACTGAACTGCTTTTGCTATTATTAGAGCCCATACCTGTGTGAATATGAGGCTACAGTTGCACAGTTTAATTGCAAAGGCAAACGTTTGTTGAACAAGGTTTACGCTCCTTAAATCATATTATTTTTTAAAGCAGTCTATCTATAGCATGTAATGAAGCTAAAGTCATTACGATATAGAGGACGACACAGGGACACGCCTCAGGCACTTTTTGGTCACTCGCTTCGTTATAGGCAGTTTTGATACTGGTACTGCCAAGTATGACATTCCGGGTAGAACAAAGACACCCTCTCCCTGTCGTTAAAAAGAGGACAGTAGCCTTGTTTCGTAAACTCATTAACCTGGAATGTTTAAACGCGTAGTACGGCCTAGTACTAGGTAGATCACGTGACACGGCCAGAATTGTATAAATATCGCGGGTTTTTGGATAGAAAAGGCAGTTCGATCCAGGGTACCGATCTGTGAGTATGTAGTATTAAAGCGCTTGGTCAGCGCTTTGACGGTTCTCGTATATGTGTAACTAGCTGGGCTACCCGGCGATGCCCGGGATTTTTTGGGGGTTACTGCTTTTCTGCTATTTCATGCGTTTAGCTGGGCTACCCGGCGATGCCCGGGATTTTTTGGGGGTTACTGCTTTTCTGCTATTTCATGCGTTTTGTGCTATTGCTTGCGTTTCGGCATTTCATGCGATTGCCTGATTTTGAGCCTGACTATAGTTGAGCGCTACAGGATTGCTGTTCTAGGATTCGTCTTGACTTTTCTGCTGCAGTGTATAGTCGAGCGCTAGGATTGCTGTTATTGTTAACTTTTCTGCTGCGCTAGTATTTTTGGGGGGGAAATCTGTTTTTTTTTTTTTGCCCTTATTTTGGCATTTTTGTGCAAATTGTTTTTGGCTTAAAATGGTCGTCGCGTCATGCTGATTGAGAATATACCTCTGGGTGACCTCTTACTGGTCTCAAGAAGACAGACAGACAGATAGATCCGGCGATTTATTGTAGGAGATAAATACGAAAAACTCGAAAATACGAAGTGCCTGCGAAAAAAATAAGCAGCAAGTTGAGCATTTATACCTTTCAGCAGTAGTCGTGTACGACGCTTTTGTCTCTCCTTCGAAGCTAAATTTGTTTTAATAGAACTAACAAAAATAGTCGACAATACAGCTAGAAAAATAGCGGTCAAAATGCAAATTCAACATGCAGTCGATGGATGAGCAGTGAACGGCCGCATTGAATTAGTAGGAGGGTATATAGCGCCACCTCGCGGATATTTCTTAAAATAATAAATAATTTTAATTGTAATTTTAAACTTTTTTATTTTGTGTATTTATTTTTTTTTAACCTTGCCTTTGGTCGTCGCGAATTAAGAATATATATGGTGTTGGGGGTTAGCTACCTTCCACTGTTTCGGCGCGTATGTGAACACATTTGGGACTAACAGGGTTTACTAGAATCCCACCACTCCACCACAGAGTCACCGCAGTAGACGTGAGATGAGCGCTGTTGCTCTGCGGCACTTGTTAATTAATTTTGTTCAATGCTTATTCACTCAGGCCTGCTGCATATGGACCGTTGGATGCCTTCTACTGCTGTACAGCACCTGAAGGCACAGCACTGAAGCGCAACATCTTGAACGTCATGCAAAATATCTAGTAAGTAAAAGAGCCAGGCAATACGCGTAACTTTTAAATGAATTTTCTACAGTGTAAGGGGCTGAGGTACTGGACTAAATGTACCTCTGACAGACCTACAGGTACGGCCACAGGCACTTGGGAGTTGGAACGACGAACATTTCAATAGTAAAATGATTGTAAATAGGCCTACTAAACACGAAATGTATATTTACTACCAAAGGCTTAATGTTTCTCTACTCTCTTTCGCCTATTATTGCCGATAATTTCCTGTAAACTTTCAAATGTTCTTGTGCAATATTCTGTTCTTGCAACACACAAGTATACTGCACGTACGCTAGCTGTGCACAAACAGCTAGTAACAAGAATAAAGAGCCAGTGGAAAGCGTGATCGCAAAATTCGTACAACGTTCGCTTCGTTTCACACTATCCCAGCACAAATACACCAACAACAGCCTCTATTTTGGTATCTATGTGTAGCTAAATGCTCATTTGTTCGAATTCTAACTGCCTTTTGGTACGGCCTACTCCAGCCAGAGAGGAATGCCATGCCATGTTTATGTGGATGAAGTGTACACTAGTCACTACTCACTAGTGCCATTCATTGATGTGAGAAAAAGTACGATTAATCAAAGATCGATCTATCAATCTTTGTTGTAGTATGGAAACTTTTTGGCACTGTCGTAAAACAACAGCAGATATAAAGCATTACGTGAGTCATACTACCATTGCTCCATAGCAAACTACATAATATCATGTCTATTATAATCCTCTCCTTTACAGTACAAAATAAGGGTTCAAAGTCCCAGAATATTAAAATACGAATTGCATATCTTCATAACTTTCACAGGTGCTAGCTGCAAGACCCTGTGGAACAGTGTGGACAGAGGACCACAGATACGGACTTTGCCTCATTTCTGTTTGCTCCAAGCATTTTATTAGGTAGGTGTGATATGTGCGTACATTTTGCACTGCAGCTTATACAGGGGCATGGTCCATGAGAGATATGTAGAACATGGTGTAAGAGAGATGTTGGGGCATAGGGCATGAGATGCATGGAGCATGAGAGATGCATCGTGCATGAGAGCTGCATTTGGCATGGGCATGAGAGGTGGGTGTGTGCGTGCGTGCGTGCGTGAGCGTGTGTGCGTGCGTGCGTGCGTGCGTGTGTGCATGTGTGTGCTACGCGCATGCGTGCGTGCGTGCGTGAGAGAGAGAGAGAGAGAGAGAGGGAGTTCATGAGAGATACATGGTTCATGGGGCATAACAGATGTGGGGGGCATAGTGCATGAGAGATGTGCGGGGCATAGTGCATGAGATATGTGTGGGGCATAGTGCATGAGAGATGTGC